CGGGGTTGGGGGCGGGCGGTGGCGCCTCAGAAAAGACGCAGGACGAGTGCGCAGGCCGCCCCGCAGGTCCCGCAGCCGGGGCTGGCACGATGGCTCCTGGCCGTGGTCGAGACAGCCTGGGGCCGCACGGCCCCCACTGCATCTTCCCAGACCGGAACCCCGCCACCACGCCTCCAGCCTCGGGCTCCGGTTCCCCCAAACTGAATGACTCTGGTGGGACACGGCAAATTACTTCCTAGTTCAACATAGTAGATGCAACGAGTATGGCGACTCAAATGTAGTGAACAGGGGTCTGCAGGCCGCTCAGAAACCAGCTCCCCGCCGCGTCGCAGCGGCCTCTGAGGAAGGCGGGCCTGCCACGGCTAGCTCCTCTGACCGGCTGAGCCTGGCCCGGGGCAGGCACCCACCGGGCGAAGCCCCCGCCCGCCTCTGCGCCCGCCCCCATGGCCGCCGGGGAGACCCGGGCTGAGCGGACGCCCGGCCCACACCTGGCGGCCCGGCCCACACCACCGCAGGCCTCTGGCCTCTCCCGCCACAGCTGAGCTCCCAAGTCGCTGGAAGCCGGCAGCTGTTCAGTCAAGCAGGCCCAAGTAGCCATCACGGGCCACCGTGGGTAGTAAGAGGCGGCCCCACGCGGGGCCTGCGGCGGCCCAAGGCCAGCCCCGGGTGCGCGGCCGAAGGAAGCCCAGCAGCCGCGGGCCAGAGGCGGCCGGGGCGGCGCCGAGTGCCGGCTGTGGTCTAGGAGGGAAAAGGGACGTGTTCCCCGCGCACGCGTTACTAGTGGACACCCGGGGGCTCGGCAGAGGGCGGGACCCACATCCATCCAGGGCTGGGGGTGGGGGGCACCAGGGTCGTGGCGAAGCTTCACACCGCACCTGTGTGCCAGAGCCGCCAGGCACAGGCTCGCGACGCTGCAGGACCACTCGCAGGGGGGGCCCAAGGGGGCGGCGTGCGAGGCCGAGGTGCCCCTCTGCAGGGGCTGGGAGGCGCATTTGCAGACCCCTCCCACCTACAGACCACCGAAGCACGGCGCCTTCTGGGCCCTGGCTTGAGTCCGGGCAGCAGGGGTCACCCAGGGGGGTCCAGGGCAGCAGGGGTCACCGAGAGGGGTCCAGGGCAGCAGGGGTCACCCAGCAGGGGTCCTAGGACAGCAGGAGTCACCCAGCGGGGATCCGGGACAGCAGGAGTCACCCAGAGGGGGTCCAGGGCAGCAGGGGTCACCCAGGGGGGGTCCGGGGCAGCAGGGGTCACCCAGAGGGGGTCCGGGCAGCAGGGGTCACCCAGAGGGGGTCCGGGCAGCAGGGGTCACCAAGGGGGGGTCCAGGGCAGCAGGTGTCACCCAGGGGGGTCC